GTGTGTGTGTGTGTGTGTGTGTGTGTGTGTGTGTGTGTGTGTGTGTGAGAGACAGAGAGAGAGAGAGAGAGAGAGAGAGAGCGGGAACAAACACTCTAGGGGTGGCTTGTCAAACACATGTATCTCGAGGTGCAATAAGTTGTAACCATGACACCTAGAGTGACAGATTGCAATCCTTCAGCTTTGACCTCAGCTGTCCCCTTCACACCTCAGAAATAACAAAAAGCTGTTTATCGTGATCTCCGATCAGATGTTGTTCTCTATATGTGAATTTTAAACTGCAGCAAAACAGACTCCTGGTTGAGCTGTGTTTAATTTTGGTACTTCCTGTAAACGGTTGACGCCAGCCTGCGCCGCAGCTCGAGTGTGCAGAGTAGCATTTGAAGAAGGGAGTTGAAATGAACCCTGGCTGCAGTGTCTTCAGCTGATATTATAGTTGAGCCAATGTGTCCGTATTGAATTCAACTGTCCTAAAAGCTACAGAATAGAATGATTTGAGTCACAGTTCTTGCTTCATTAGCTTAATTAGCCAATGATTTTACTTTCGAAGCGCTTAAGGACTGGCCTCTGCCACTCATGATCATAGCCATCTAGCAGATAATTGATTGGACTGCAGCCATCTCCACAGGGCGGCAATACACAGATGTCTGATTAACTGTCACCAAGATGAAGTCCGTGTCATCTTGACCAAAGTGTGTATTAATGTCTCTCTAAAGCTCAGTCTCTTTTTTTAATTCATCTGTACAGAAACACTGATGTACTTCCTGCTGGGTTATTTACTAAAGTGTGTGTATGTGTGCTGTGTGTGTGCGTGTGTGTGTCTGTGTGTGTGTGTGTGTGTGCGTTTTGTGTGTGTGTGTGTGAGGTCTCATTCATCTATCTCCACATGCACCCACTCAATCTCACAAAGGGCCAGCCATGAGAATGAGAGAGCAGGAAAACTGAAGAGGCAGCTGCCTCTTCGCTAATGTGAAATTGACACTGGAACTAAGAGGGTCCAATACAAAACACACACGTGCATCCATATGCATGGCTCGTGCAAAGGAAGTCATACAGCATGTCTCGTAGAGTCTCAAGTCGTACTCTCAGTGTGACAGACAAATGTTACTTATGTAGAACCTTGCACATGCAAAGTTGTATGCAGCAAAACATACAATAACACACAAAGTCTAGGTTGTTAACATCAACTCGTACATGCTCACACATGCCAGCAGAGGCACAAACACATACACACTCCAGCAGTCACACACACACACTGTTTTTCTCTCACCGCTAGCGGTCGTTTACTCTTCAGATTGTTCAAATTGAGCTTTTGAGACTTTTCATTTCCAAACAACAAAAACCTCGCTCTCAAATTAAACAAAGATCAGCGAGGGAAATTGCCCAGGAAGACATCTGCGACTCATTTTCCCCTGGAGTATATGATTAGGAAATTCATTTATGTCTAACGTATAATTCCTGCCCGTCTTTCAAGTGGGAACGTCCACACAGTGCCCTGTGTTCTACCCCTTGGAAGAAGGAAGGAAAAGTAAGGGGAAAAACAGCCTGTGGGATTGGGTTAGAAACAAAGACTATGTTACTTGCAAGAATGCTCCACTCTGTTTTTTTTTTATGATCTGCTGTGATTTCGCCCCACCGGTTTTTGAGCAGGAAATGGGTGCTGCACTCGGTCCTCCGTATTTAGGGGACTGATCCGGTGGAAACCCCAAGGCAGGGTCTTTGTCTGGAAGAACCACACATGTGTTTAGCTCTGATGGCCAAATGATGGGTCCCATCCCTCTGTGGTCTTGCTACCCGTAATTAGATGTTTTTACACGATTCACTGGCTGTTGCAGGACACATGTTGCCTTAATTGACAGTGACAGAGGTGGAGGGTGAGGTCCTCTCAAGTGGGTGCCTTCATTGTATGACTGCCAAGCAAACAGTGGTGATCATCAAAGCAAAAAACAGCACGCTTGTTTGACTATCTGCCTTGCCAGTGTGCACCACTTTCATAAAACATCATTTGCAACTCTGTTCAGAATGGTGAGCTAATAAAATGTGTACCACAGGAAGTAGAGATGAGACAGGAACAGTGAAAAGGAGCTCAAGGTGTAGTTCTTCATTAGGCTACACTGTCATTAACAGCAGGCTTTCCAAGATTCATTCAACTTCAGAAGCAGGTTTGATAATAACATATAGATTCAAGAATATTAAATGTTTCTCCCCCACCTTTCTTTGCTCTCTCAGGAAATGGATATGGGAACCATCGCAACTCACCAGGTCTGCTGGTTTCTCCAGGTGGCATGAACAAGAACATGCAGGCTAAGTCTCCCCCGCCCATGAATTTAGGCATGAACAACCGCAAACCTGACCTACGTGTGCTCATCCCCCCTGGCGTCAAGAACAACATGCCCTCCATCGTGAGTAATCTTTCCATCCCTCTTTCCATTTCCCCACTGTATGTCTTCCTATCTATTGTGTGTGGGGGGGGGGGGGTCTTTTGGGTGTGTTTGCTGTTGTTGATTTCCTTTCATGTCCCCTCTGCTGCTTTCATCTCTTCATATCAGACTTGGGTTGATGAGATCATGTTTGAGATACRCTTGGACTTTTGGTTTTTCATGTTCTTTGGCCCAAGTCTGATATACTGTCAGATATATTTCCTCTGCTGTGTCTGTATACGTAAGCGGACGCTTATACAATAGGCCCGAATATGTCTCCTGTCTTTCTAATAAGGTGTGTATAGTTACAATAGTTCTTAGCATCCTCTTTTCACTTTAGTTCAGTCAGTTGGCTCAATCCTACAGCTGCTCCATCCCTAGATCAGCACTTAACCACCACTTCTATATTCTCACTCGCACTCACTAATTTAAATTTATTACCCTCCCCTATTAATGCCGTCAGTCTGAGGATGTCGATCTGCTATTGGTAAGTCAGACTGCCACTCAGATTTAGAAATCTGAAACTTGAAAGCTTTTCTAATAAGAAACTGGTTAAAATAATGTTCTTGGGAGCATAATGTGCCTTGTAGTACTGAGCGCGTTGCAGTCACCTCAGTCTGATGTCTGGATTTGCATTCAGTTTTATCCTTCACTACTGACATTATTACATCAAAATACAGCGTTTCTGGGAAAAGCCGTCTCGACTCCAGAGTAACTTTAACCTTTATTGTTGCTGAGTCTGCTGAAGGTGCCAATGTCACCTCTGAGGACGTTTTGTGAGGGCACATAGTGCCATCCAGTGGTGCGTCAGAGTAAAAGCAGCCTGGCCTCTTTTCTGCCTTAGCCGTTTTGTCTCCTTCCTTCCGTCCTTTCATCTTTTCACCTGCATCAAGAGTCTCGCGTCGCACACGTATAGCTCACAACTTGTATTATTCAGAATTCAGAAATGAAGGGCAACAAAAGAGTTCTCTTTCATTTCGCATCAAACCTCCATTATTTCCTGCCCCTCTGCTACGGTAAAGTGTCTCTCCCTTTGCCGTCGCTACCCTGCGTTGCCTTGGAGACCGATGGTGTTACTATAGCGACAGCGGGCCCTCGGAAAAGGGTGGTAAATGATAGGGTTGGCAGGGTTCAGCCGTGCGGCATGTCAAGTGATTAATTTCCCCAGAAGTTGGCATCACATTCATTCTCTCAGCATCTGTTGAGCGAAAGAAAGAAATTAAAGAAAATTAAAGAAAAAAAAGTTTCTTGGTTCATTGCAGTTTTTTGTTTGTTTTTTGTCTGTGAGTTCTCAAGCCTCTTCCATCTCTCTTGCTCTGTGTGTCTTCCTTTCCTCTGTCACAGAACCAGAGAATAAACAACTCTCAGTCTGCTCAGTCATTGGCCACCCCAGTGGTATCAGTAGCAACCCCCACTCTTCCGGGACAGGGCATGGGCGGTTACCCGTCTGCCATCTCTACTTCTTATGGTACCGGTACGTACTGTGTGATCTTTATACATTCAATTAGTGTAGTCTAGTATAGTTTCAGTTCCCCTGTACTATACCCAAACAACCCAAAGAATCAAGTTTTGTTTTAGAAGTTGTGTAAAAATGGTTTGACCCATTTCAGGTACATGTGTTGTTTTTGAACCCAACCTGCACATACTTCCCAAATGTAAATATAATACATCGGTCCAACTGCAGAGGGTGCTATTGTCACACCAACAAACACACAACTCATTCATGTAACATCACAGCAGCCTTTATCAGAGCTGCCTTCTCTTAGCAACTGTACTTTGACGTCTTTGAACAACCTATAATCCTCCTCCTGCTCTTCCTTTCTTTCCTTCCTTTCAGAGTATTCCCTGAATAGTGCAGACCTGTCCTCCCTGTCTGGCTTCAACAGCGGCAGCTCCCTTCACCTCGGCTCAATGAGCGGGTGGCAACAGCAACACCTTCAGAACATGCAGCATTCAGCCCTCGGCCAGCTAGGGTGAGTGCATTGAACTTAATTTGAGGTGTTGTGCTGTTGTGAAATGCATGATGTAACACATAAATCACAAGAGATTATTTTTTGATACGCCGAGAGTCCTTCACTGTTTTCAACTTTCACTCGCAAGGTCGAACATAAATATCACAACTCCTTGTTTTCTTCAATATGAGTGTGTGTGTGTGTTTGTGTGTGTATGCATGCTTGCATGCATGTTTGGTTGTGACAGACTGCCTTTAAAATCACTTTGTTTCTTGCTCTGTAACTCTGTAACCCCTTTGCGTTTCCTTTCCTTCCTACAGAAATTGCTCTAGCTCTCACTTATGTCAGGGTTCAAATCTCTCCCTGCCCTCTGCTCAAAGCCTGCACATCAAGTCCGAACCTGTTTCTCCTCCTAGAGATCGCACCAGCAGCACGGGGGGCTACGGTGGGGTACCAACTCCCCAGAACCCCTCGTCCCGCCAGGACTCGGGACGCTCCCCCGTTGATAGCCTGAGCAGTTGTAGCAGCTCCCATGAGGGCAGCGACCGTGATGAGCACAGGAATGAGTTCCACTCACCTCTGGGACTTGCCCGGCCCACCCTGGACGAGCGCGAGAGTCCCTCCATCAAACGGGTGCGCCTGTCAGAAGGATGGGCGACATGATAGCTCTGTCCTCTCCCCGGCAGTACCCCGAGTTACCCCGAGCCCCCGACAACGCAGCATTACGATGCCCCCCCAAGTCAGATCCTCTTCCTCCTCTCACCTGATATCACGAGTCACTCAACCACCCAACCCCAAGGCCTCTCTCCTTTTATCTTGTTAACGCCGAAGGAAATAAAAGGGACAGCCCTTTTCTAAAATATGTTTGTAATTTCTTTTCCTTTTTTATTTTCTTTTTGCTGAGTGTGTGTGCTATACATATTGACATTATATAAACCAGTGGGGTGTTGTAATGGGGGTTTGGGAGGGTGGGTGTGGGTTGGGATGGCATCTGGGGGTATTTCTGTTGGGGAACTATGCATAAATTGTATTGTGTGTGGATAAAAAGAATCACGTATGCATATATATTTACACGTGTGTGTATGTGTACATATATGCATATCAACAAATAAACAAAAAAAATAGTCAGGTACTCTGTTTCATAAAACGTACTTACACTTTGCCTCAGCGATATATATCAGTGACTAGAGACAAAAAAAAAAGACAAAAAAAACATGAACATGAGAGTGAGTGTGTCCAATGGAAAACACCTTAGCACTTGAGTTGGACAAACAATACATGTGTACAGTGTCGGTTTCATTGCTATATACCTTCTCTGCAGTTCTCCCTTGCAAAAATGTGTGTTAACATTAGATGATGTCATGTTGCAGGTTCAACGTATTTATGTAAATAGAGGGTCGAGGGGGGAAGGGCAGGGGTCAAAAGTTGCCAGACATTACAAGATTTATTTACTCACTAAATGAAAAAGCTATTATGCAACATTTGAAGAATTGTACAGGTAAACAGGCAGACCCAATGCTAGACACGTGGAACCTTTGATGATCTTAGCGCTCCCCTTAAACCAACGGAGCCGAACGAGGACCAGCCTTTGATCTAAGAGCTGCGTTCCTGTAATCAAGAAATCTCTGGATCTAGTATTAATATTCAGTATTAATAAACAAAAAAAAGGAAAAATAAAAAACAATTGTACGATACACTTGCTTATATTTTCATATGAAAGGAATACAATGCAAAGCATTTTTGTGGCTTTTTGTAGTTTCTATAAGCCAGAATGTGTTTTTTGATAGCTTTGCTAATAAGAGACGGATAGTTCGCCCAGAGGGGAATTGACAGGTCGTCGCTGCCCTAAGCCATTAAAGACAGACTGAGATCCAATGCTTTGCTGAACTGTTTTATCTTTGTAGAGGTTTGTTTTTAAACGTGTATTTCTAATTATATATAATAATGGTAATATTAAGATTCTTTAAAAAAAAAAATCTGTGAAATTAACATGCTTGTGTATAGCTTTCTAATATATAAATATATATACTAATTTTTGTTGGTTTCTTAGTGGAGTTTCTATGTGCAGTTGCACATGTTGTCTGGTTTGTTTAATTTGAGCCCTGAACAGTGCTGTTCAGGCGTGTATTTAGTCTAACCTTCAAAAACCAGCTGGAAAGCATTGCCGGGGTTTGTGTGACGGAGGGAAAGACAGGCCTGAATGAACACAACCTGTTAGTGGAAAATGTCATGAGGCTGGAACTGGGGATGACACAAGAAATAAAAGTTGACACATGATGTACATGATTGTCATACTGATGAGGAAATATGACTGACCCTCCATCCATGTCTAGATGCATTTGAATGCATCAGATATTTCATTCTTAGCCTTAATTATCTAATTTCATAATGTTAATCTCGTAAAACATGTTATTGACAATAGCGATGTTCAGTTCAATTTCAAATCTTAGCTTGTGTTCCAGATGTTGCACCAGCCCTGATCCAATCAATAACATTTTTTTTATTTTGAATCATATTTATGTAATGTAATTTTATGAGTGCATTGTGATTAATTACCCCCGATCATTTGCAAACCTAATTTGATTCGGAGTCGTCCTGTGACTCCTCATGTTCCACTCTTCAGAACAGGGTTCCACATCATTTACCAGATGTCACACGACAGTTCAGCATCAGATACACAAGGACAAATTGATCATGCTGGTATGAAAGAAGCACAATTGTTTATTTTAAATAAATAGCTGTTTTGATTTACTCTTTTTTAAACAATGAAACTAGCCACATATCTCTCTGCCTCCCACTCCCGTATCTGCTGTCACTTAAGTGTTATAATATTTCTATGTGCATATTTCATGCAGGTTCACTATGTTGTTACTGTATACAGTCTGTGTAGTCAAACAGGGGCAGAGCCTCTATAATGGTGTTCTTCTCTCTTTTTTTTAATTCAATACAAAAAGGTTGGGAAAAAAAATAAACATGATGTTTCAGGCAGCAAAACGTGTGGAGAAACCAAAGCCAGTGGCATTTCTGTGTTGTAAACTCAACTTTATTTTCACATTCATTTATGGTTTTTGCAAGCATTGAAACAAGACAATAAAAGAATTTGCTCAAATGTACAATTGGTTTCACATTTCAATTTCAGTCAGTCAAATGTAGCTTTAGATGTCAATACCAACCTGTTTTGTTGCTCATTTGTCTCCCTGTGCATTGAAAAGATTATATTCAAAAAACACATTTTGTATTTACAATTTGTTATTTGCTCTGAATCGGCAAAATCATTCAGGCCTGATCATGTGAAACACATGCTTGCTGTCCACTTGATCAAAGCCGACCACAAGCTAATTATCACGCTACTTGCTCACTGATTGAAATAATGCCAACATGTCCTCACGGTTGATTACAGTGCTGTAGTTTTGACAATAATTTGAACCAAAGACAACAAAGAAAACTTGTCTTTATATCTTTTTTTTCTGTTTGTTAAATTTATCATCACCTGTTGACCAGTTGTTCTTTGTCATTATCATAATGGACTAAATGTTGGTACCTCAAAATTTACCTAAGCAGTACCTCAGCTGATGTTTTGAGAAGTCACTTGCAGTGAAAAGAGGAGACTATACACCTGTACAGCCATGTGTAATAACCATGTAATACCATTGATTAAGGTTCCTACATTCACATGGGATTCTTTGTTGCTCCACCGTGTTTGTGGTTTATTTAAGTTGTATTCAAAAGCTGAAAAGGACATTTCTTTCAAAAGAGTAATATGTTAAAATGCTTAAAAAGTCAGTTGGTAGTATCAAATGTAGCTTGTATAAACCTGAAAATGGTGGAGGTTTGGAACTAATGTTTTCTGGAACGCAAGAGCGGCTTTCAGCGGCATAAGCTGGCCTTTGTCGCCACTTGAGACTAAGATGGTATTAAATAAAATCCACATCTCTGTAACTCAAGGCACTTGATTCAGCTTTATGTAGTGAAAACGTATGAGGATGAAATAAAAGTCTCTTCTGATGGAGGGGAAGGCTTTTTGTATTTTGCAGAGATTTCAGTAAAGTTACTGGCTTTCTTAGTTATCCTGATGTGACTTGTTGTGATTTCATTGTGTTTGACTTTTTTCTGTTTGCATCTCGAAGCGGTGGCTCTACTTTCTGTGCAGAAGAAAAAAAACTCAACATGAAAATATTTAATGAATGAATATCAGGGTATGGTGCCATGTAGCAGCTTCCCTTTAAGTCAAGACATTGTGTGACATTGAAATAATGACAACGGCCTCATTTTCATTTAAAAAATATGGCTTTCTGACACAAGTATTTATACTGAAGACATTTATTTGACATTTAAAGCCAAGGTTTATCGCACTTGTTGCGTCATCATCTTCTCAGTGATACATTATGCCATAGACAATACAAATGTACCTTACAGTCACAGGGAAAAACATGTACATAAACAATGCAAACAGTGATCTGCTTATCAAAGAGATGTGGAAACATTCAAATGATCTAGGCTTGCTCAGGACTATAGTACATTCCAAAAGAAGGGGAAGGAGAAAGAGAAGAATAAGAGGAAGAAGTTCAGTTAAATAATTTCCTTTTCTTTCTTCCTTTTTCCGTGTTACCCTGTAACAATCGTTGGCGACTGTCTGACGCACATAACCTGCAGTGGAGCTGTTAAGAACTGCGTATTAAATAATAATGACAGTGGATGATGCATGTTTGGCTTCTGAAAATGCAATACTTAGTAAGAACAGATACGCATTTACAAAGAGATGATGGTGTGATTAAACGACGGCGTCAAGACGCAAACACTTACACAATTTAGACACATTTGATCCCAGCTGGGGGTTTGACGCTTCTTTGAGATCTTTCTTTTCTGCATGGCTCGTATTTTGATATTTTAATTTACCTACAGATCAAGTGTTTATTTTTCTTTATAATTTATAGCGAGTTAAGATACAAACAATCAAGCAATAATGTCAAAACGTCTAATCAAATTCGTTCGTGAGTTTTTCGCACTTTTTCTGTATTCACAATGTAGCCTATCTCTGTAGCAACTTATTTTATATAGCTAGTATACTATCTATGATTTTTATAGAGTTATTGGTTTTTTTCGTTAGCGTCTAGGATAATACTGTTTGAAAGAACAGGCTCGCGCCATTATAAGATGCAGTTCATATCAAATCTTTATCTCGTTAGGCTGACTCCTCAGAAGACAACCCGAGCTTGAAGTGACGATACGTTAATCTTTTAAATCATTTCAGGTTTGGACACATATTTTATAAACTCGGGCAGCCCTGTGTTCTCTTTAAAAGAATCAGTCCTATCAATACATCAAATCATTTCAATAGAAACACTTTCACTGTTTCTAATTATAATTGTAAAAAATGCTTATGGTACCATGTATATGTCTATCTATATATATAGATAGATATTATAGATATGATTATATAGATTTTCATCACGCAAAATGAATGAAAATAAAAAAAATGAAAGTGTGTGTTACAACCTTGCATCAAACAAGCGGATGAAACATTAATTGGATCTTTTTTTCTTTCTTAAATTTCACATGTAATGTAACTACAAACACGTTCCTTTTTCAGCACAAGTGTGCACAAAATCGAAGATAACGAAATTCTAACGCCAGTGAAATCCTTTCGCAGTCTACTGAAGGCTGCAACCGAGAAATAATTTGATTAAAAATCATACTATGATTTACGTTACTCAATTGGTGGTTTATATGCCAATATAATAACGGTATATGTTACTTGCTGCATTACTGCAATAAATGTACACATACGACGATGTTCCTGCAGTATATGAATTCTAAACTGTCTTGCAAGTCATTCGCAGGTTTGAATTAGGCCGCACTCCAAGACGTCCTTCCACTGCTTTATTACATTAAGCTTCTAGTGAATTTGAAGGGGTAATTCCAGAAGCCTGTGGTGAAGAAGGTTGATAAAGTCAGTGGAGGCACCATATCATGTATTATCTGTCCGAAATAATCGATTTTGACAACAGTTCTCACAGTTTCTCAAAAGGCCAGGCTGATGCAAAACGTGTCACCGTTTGAACTGTTTGCTTCAATGTGATCAAGGCAAATAAAAAACAAGAATAAGGCCAAAGAATATGAAAGGAAAAAGCACATTTCAGGTTCAATCTAAATACCATTACAAAAAAATCATGACAACATATCTATATTAACTAATAGCCAATAAAAATATAAATGAGTACGCCTGAATAATGTTTTAACTCTGCAGAAACCTAAACTGTAACAGCATGAATAGGTCCAGTTTAGTGCCGTTTGCAGACACCAGTCAGGTGTGACATATTATCTGACTGGGCTGTGGCAATTCAACAAAAAGGGAACTGTATTTAAAGAATGTGCACGTGCATCCACTGTGTATGTAATTATACCTGCATTCATTAGGGTGGGGTGGCGGTGGCAGCAGGTGTACGTGTAGCCAGCCTACTTCAGTGTGCGTCCAGGCTGGCCACATTTCCATCATCAACATTCTCCAGAATCACCACTAGATGTCACCATTTAATCGTCTTACCCCCCCCCCCATTCCACCCCCACCCCGAACAAAAAAAACCTCTCACCCTCCTCATCCTCATCTCCTTGCTGTAGATCGAAGATCGAACAGACAGACCTGTGTGCTCTCCACAAACTGCTTCAAGAACGAATGTTTTTCTTGTGAGAGTATAAGTGTAAGATATATATTCCTCCCTGACCGTTGAAATCTACACTTTATTGTTTAAGATTCGAATTTGAAAAGAAGTTGAAAATAAGTAAAATATGAATAATAATAATAATAATAATAATAACAACAATAACAATAATAATACATGATAATAATAAAAATACTCTTATACGTATATATATATATATATATAATAAACATGTGAGCTATAGACTTGTGTTTGTCCATAACTAAAAGCGAAAAACTGCACGGTACACGAGACACTTCAAACCTTTAAAACTACAGTTAAGCTATTGAAAAAACAGCATGGGTTATTTAACTTGGAGGTGTTTCATACACCAATTTCCAAACAGTGTTTCCAGGCTCGCATGTTTCTGTTACAAACTGCATCACAATGCATCATAACGCTGATGTCATGTATTTTAATTATGTTTTTCTGTCTCACAGGTGATTTCTGGAGAGAAATGTGCGCACACTTATTTAGCTTGCCTCGTTTTAAATGAAATATTTGCCAAATTATTGCCTCACATTACAGCTCCATATGAGAGCATTATAATATACAATTAAAATACGGAAATTTGTCGTATTTGTTTGTCCCCTGTTTTATCTTATTTGTTTGGAATCTAGAAGCCTGTTGTATTTCTTTGACTCGAACACGCGGCCTGGTAGCTGCACTGTCACAAAACGCCGTTATGGGCTATTAAATGCAGCCAAATCGTTTAATCCACAGGAACACGGAGAATACCCGGTGTCCATAAATTGTGTCTCTCCTATCCATGATTCAAATGAGGACCACTGCGCAGCGCACTGCTCTCCTGTCTAACTCCCATTAAAGACTCTGGAGCTGTCTATGGTCAAGAGAAATATAGTGGTATTAAAAAAATAAAGGTGAGTAAAGACCTCGTGAGACTTGGCCTGCTAATGTTGACTCACTTCTTTCCCAGAAAGAAGTGAATGGTGTTAACGAACTGAACTCTTTTTTTAAATGAGATGACACCCACCAATCGAAAGAATTAGAGGTTGGCCTAGATTAGTTGAATTAACAACCACCTCCTCATACACACTTTCCCGTTCCGTTTCTATGAACTCATTAAAATAAATGTACCTGTATTTTATTGGACAAATTATACTTTAATTTTATAAAAAAGTGTGAAACACTAGACACTCTTCACACTTAATGAGCTTGGTTATTTTCATTTTGAAGGTAAACGCATGGTGTGTGTGTGTGTGTGTGTGTGTGTGTGTGTGTGTGTGTGTGTGTGTGTGTGTGTACCCTTCATAAGGTGGTGATAAAAAACGTGGGTGATACAACAGAGGATGGCTAGTCAAGCTCCCATCGAGCAACCTATCAGTAAAGTACTATTCTAATATTTCACAACAAGCAATGAGTGAATATGACTTTAGAGTGAGGAGCCCATTATAGGTTGTACTGGACTCCTGTGGCTTTGAATATCTTTACGTGAGCCAGCTCGACCACTGGTGTTGAGCCACGAGCAGTTTAAGAGCAAGGTTCAATGAGAGGGGAGTAGCCTATCGGGACTGCATCCTTTTTAGCTGATGCCATTAAGTTCGCAAAACGTCCCACCAACTTGAAAGAAACGTCGCACGTAGCCAAGAATCGAGTTACAGCAGTTGGACAGTTGGATTTTTTTAATTGGAGGTAAGTTGTAACGTTTGATTTAGGACAAACTTTCTCTGTGGAGATCACACAAACGCAGTGAGTGCGACTCAAACGGGGAAACAATACATATAGAGAAACTTGAATATAAATGTCTGTCTTCTATATTATATTGTGTCGTAATAGTAGATATATTTCTCTAAGCGCAGTGCACTTGCATGCGCACGCTCGTCCCTGCCACTGTGCGCGTGCACGGACACGGAAGAGACAGCCTGAGCAATTGTCGCCTAAATGTCAGCGCTGCGTCACTGGATTTCTTACAAACTGGGCAGGAGACTTTTTGGTTATTAGTTTTCGCACAGCCCGTGTCATTCTCCTATTATGAGCCAGCCGTCTCCATCTTAAAGTATCACCTCCTCGGTATTATCTCTGAATCTCCTCTATTGTTTGCCCAGCAGATAGCTCTTTGTTCATGCATGCATGCTGCATATGAGTATTCAAAGCCTTTCGAATTGCATCATTCAGATTAAAGAATAACTTTAGAAGACCACAATGGCGCTGACATCGTGTCACTGCATCCAACGTCTCATTAGCCTACAATTTGAATTTCAAGTCTGACATTTTAGGTACTAAATTGAATCGCTATAAGCGGATAAACAAGGACTTTACATCGATCTTAAGACAAAAGCATGAAACATAAACACTGAACGATAAGTGTGCAATGCGAATCGAACAACTGAATAATCATCAATATTAAAAATAATACGCACACCAGAGCCAACGGCGTCGGAGTATTGAGAATGGCGGAGCTGGTCGTCTCATTACGCATGGGCGGTTTTCCACGCAGGAGCCACGGTTTCCCTTCTCTTCATCTCTCCCGTCTGTCCCGTTCACATTAACGAAGCCTCTTGGAAAAACAAACAAGGCTATGTTGGCTTTCAAAACAGCAAACAAAAACCCAAGAACTGGCTGAGGGGAAATTACTCCGACTGCGGCCAGGCGGACTATGTAGTAAACGGGATTTGCATATTTTGATGCGCTAATTGCCTTGATGTATTTAAATATGGCTGCACGTAGCTGATATGCTTGTCTACGTCATTGAACGTGCCTCGCTGTTAAACTAAAACGTGAATCCGGCTGAATCTAATGGTTACGCCTGCAATTAGGCAAAGGGAGGGGGGGGTAATATGAGAGAGGATGCTTTGCGTTCCCAGTCTGCTGTCCTTTCAGTCACATGATGATTATCTGACATTGTTATTTTTATCTGAGACATTCTGAAAAAGAACAGAAAAATAGCTACAAATCAAAAAAAATGTGACCGGGGAAAATAACAGATAATGTGCAGCCCAAAGCTTTTGCGCCAAAGACAGAGATAAGTGATATTATTGCACAGTAAAGCGCTCCTACACGTTTTTCAAAAACAGTCAAGCATTATAACTTATTCACTAAATAAATAAAAGTATGTCATCAAGAATTATCGGAAGACGAGGTTGGCTTCTGACAGGTCACCTCGTTCAACTTTTTTTTGTGTGAAATATTTCTCTTATCTTTCTTTTGCCTTCTCTCCCAAGGCTGTGTGTGTGTGTGTGTGTGTGTGTGTGTGTGTGTGTGTGTGTGTGTGTGTGTGTGTGTGTGTGTGTGTGTGTGTGTGTGTATGTATGTGTCCACTTTTGGAGGGGACACGCGCGCTTGTGTCTTATAATATCACTTCTTATTAGGCCACTGGGAGCAAGGTTAAATTCATAACTTATACTGTACACACAGATCCAATCAAAACAATTTAAAGAAGTTTAAAGCGCGGTGTTTTCCCTTTTCTTTTTATTATAGACCTCATTCTATACTTAGTTTGGGAATTGCATGTAGCAAATCATTTCCCCTCTGTCTGGAAACCGGTAAATGCGTTCCGTTTGTCAAAGCGTGTTAGCGAAGCGCCTGCAGCAAATTCATTACCACCCAACTGCGAGGCTCACTTCGTAACCTGGTCAGGGAAAAGGAGGGAGAGGTCCACGCCAGACCGCGAACAATGCTGCCTCAGTTCGTGCGTGCAACAAAAGAACCGAGGGAACTTGTTTGAATTTCAGAGCACGTCCTCTCCTCACACAGAAGGATGGACTTTACCCCCC